GCTCAATGTTTGTGTTTACATTAGAAGATAATGTCGTCCGCGAGGCACGTAGGAAGAAAATTATTTTCCACGGCGTTAAATGCCAACACCGGTCGCTGAAGTCACGATAACTTGGCGACGTCATTAATGGTATACAATTGGACCATCTTCTTTCAGTTTTCGTAACAAAATTCGCCCCGTTAAACACGCGCCAGTAACTATTTATACGGTCGTTTTCCGTAATGAGAATCTCGGTTCAAGTCCACAGGCCTCCGTTAAATGTTACTTTATCGAGGGTCCGACGCGACGTCACACCTCGTCTTCGACTCTCCTCACGTTTTCTCGTTGTCGATGCTCTCTAAACATCCCGAGACATCGGAAGTCCGTATCCCGGAAGATCAGCAATCTCGAACGATCGGCACAGCCTTAAACCACCCCACAGGAAATCCTTACCAACGTCCAACTAGTTCGTATCTCCGAGAACGGTATCGTTCTCGGTCCACAACTCCTAAGCGTTCGTGTAATACGATCCTGCTGACGAAGTAGATCAATAATCGAACTGTCAATGGCTGGAGGTTAGGTTTAGAACCGAGGGAACAGCCAGCGTTCGTAGTAACGCTGTATCAGAATATTCTCTACGCTAATCTTGCTGGACGACCAGTGGCCGATGGCGCGGGTCAGTGATGGATGGTGTAAATATCTACCCTGACACGCACTAAATAATATTTCAGCGGTTCGATATCGAAGGACACCAGCCGGTCGCTTGATCTATGGTGCCGATCGGTCTTTACACGCTCCGCGAGTCATCCGTGACACGATGATCTTCATCGGGATATTCGCGTTTTCCATTAAGTGTCACCGCGAAATATATCGCGACTAGGCTGTGGATGTTTATCCAAATTCATATTTTTACAGATAGGGACGAAGAAAGAGAATTTAGTAAATGTATAATGTATTGTATTAACCGACTTCAAAAAGGAGGAGGTTACTCAATTCGACATTTTATATATATATATATATTTTTGTTTTGGTTGATATGTTTATACAGTCAGTCCCATAACTATTCGAACCCTCTATGTTTATCGATCACATTTGTCTGAATTAAATGCTAAGCTTAATATATCCAAATAAATGTTTTCATTATACGTATGTATTCATAATGGAAAATTGATACGGAAACATGAAACCTGTAATTTAATTTGGAGAAATTTCTTTAATAAACATAGAGGATACGGAATACTTATGGGATTGACAGTCCACTCGTAATTGTTACATGGACGTATTTTATTCGCGTGCTTAAAAAATTCGCTAAGCGAAAACGAGGGCAAGTTATTCTCGAGATTGTCAGGTATAAGCTTCGAGCACTAATTTGGCACGTATTTAGGGCAGTTGTTTACCCCGAATGATAAAGCGTCTAAGACGGAGCACCGTCCGTCTCTTTTCGTCATTTTCAGAAACGTAAAAAAAAGCAATTACCATACAGCTGGTTTATGGCTCCAAGGGAGAGATTATAGGGTGGAAATGTGTCTGGGGTAGCGGTGCGAATTTCAGGCTATCCCGCCGTTTCTTTTTTTAAGTAGGTTGCCTCGACCTTTCCCCCTCGTCGTGGAGCGATTGCCGAGATGAGTTTAACGATGAATAATCATCCGATTCCTAATTATCGGAACGAATAAACAAAAGTAATGTAAATAATCAATTCCGTAATTATTCATCTCGTTTTGCGTTCACGGTGTTCCCTCGGGTCAACATTTCTCGTTGATTTGTATTTCGCGTATGATATTAATTTAACATATTCGAACGAAATTATTAATTATGTTTTTCTCGATAAGAAACTCGCCGATCGAACATTCATTCTGAAACTAAACGGTACTTTATTTTGGAAGAAATTTTCCCGGAGCTATCATTCCGCGTTTTTTTTTCTTTCTAGATCTACTAGAAGTTGAACGATCAATTACGTTCAACGAGAAAAGATCTTCGCGCGGCGTCCTGTTCGAATAACTTTTACTCGAACCGTTCTTTCCTTTCTTCTAAAAAAAAAAAAAAAGTTATATCGTTCCCGTGCGATTCACCTCAGCATCTTTAATCGCTCGTCGTTTTTCCGTTTTTAAATTCGCCGTGGAATCATTCCCAATCGACGATCACGAGAATGGGAAATACTTAAAGGTTTCGTATATTCGATTGCGTCGGGCGGAATAATAAAGCGAAACATTGGGTCGGCCGACGCTCGGAGCCGCGGGAACCCTCTTGTTTCTATTGTACGGCGAGAAAATCCTAGCAATAGAGTGGATGCTACGCAGCAAAACAAAAACAAAACGAATATCGGAACCCCTCGTTGCAGCGGGGATGGGGGGTGGGGGTGGGTGGGTCGGTGTAACGCGTGCCTCTGGTCGTTTCCCTTGTAATCCGTTTGGTGTTGCGAAAATATGAATTTTTTTTTTTTTTTCATATTTTTATACACGCCTCGGTACTTGGCGCTCTGCGATCCTCGAATCGGCTGGTTCCTCTCGAGTAGCTCGATGAAATATGTATTTCTCCATCGAGTGTACCTATATTGTTTCTCTGTTTTCAATTCAAATCGAATCGAGGTTTATCGCCGAACCCGCGGTAAAAATCTGCCAGTGAAATAGTCGATAGCAGCCTTGAATATCGTGTATTCTCGTAAATTTCCCATAGAGTTACGGAACAAAAGCTCCTTTTTTCCTTTCACAAAGGAAGGTATCGGACTGGCGATGTTGAAGTAACTGTATTTAGGTATTTACGTTTACTACCCTTGCGATAGTATAATTCATTTAACACACCGATGGGGTGGATAACTTTTTCCTTGGCAAAAATATTGTCCGAGGTGTTGTTAAGGAGATATTCATAGGAAATCCCGACTAATCGGAGCGCGAGAACGTGACTGGAGCGGTAGGATAGGGTACGCGCTAGACAGCCACAATAACAGGCTACGCGCTAGACAGCCGCGCTCTGATTGGTCGGGGTTTTCTGTTAATCCTTTGCACTCGAGTCCTTTTGCTACGAGTTCTAAGCTATCGAGATTTTAGAACAAGGTTACCTTTACCTCACCGACAATCATTTTATTGATACGTCGAGCTCCAAAGAAATGAAACCTAAAGAAACATTATATATTACAGATTTGCTCTGTGAAACCTAATGGTGACCGAGAGTCACCTCTCGAGTCCAAAGGGTTAATATCTTCAATATCTTAATAGTTTCAAATCTCCCGAATCACTCCTTTCAAGGACCTCCACCCTTTTTACGACACCCTGTATAACCGATTTAGGGATTAGAGACTATTCACATTCTACCCTGGAAGTCCTTCGAGCGGTTTTGGGGCGTTGAACTCAGCTGAACTAAAGAAAGGTCTAATCAACCGAATAAACGTTTCGAATAAATCGCCACGCGTTGGTTTCGCGCGTCGTTTATTCTTCGAATAAAATTTCGCCCATCAACGAACGCGCTTATCGTCCCGGCGGTGATAGGAAACCGTGAAATGATAAATCGTTCGGCGGGCGACGAGATCGTAACCGAAACGATCGAAAACGGAATCGGGGAATCGACTGTCCGAAAAGTCAACGGTCCGTGATACGGGAAGAAACGAGACTGTAAGATCATTGACTATCCAGCGGGGATCGATGAATCCGCGCTCGGGCGAGTATGAAATTCCCCGGTAGGTCGTAAAACTTTGGACGCGGCGACGTTGGCCGCGGTAAAAGAAGTTCGTTGAACATCAAACGACATCGCGTTACGCCGGTGTGTTATGAATCAAAGCACGAGATGCAGAAAAACGAGATGTAGAGCGCGAAAGCTTAGACGCGCGTGCTTTTTGTTAGGCGACTCGAATGGATGGCGGTTTGGCGATGGGCTCGAGGCAGGTCGGATCGTTTCGAGTATATCGAACGACGCGAACAAAAAAGAGGCTCGCGTTTGGAAATTTCTCGATCTTCGAAACGTTAAGGATACCACTGTTGGGAGCTACGTGGATTTTCTTGGCTTCGTTAATTCGTGTAAAATCGTGTAAACATTCTTGGGGTTCTCGGGTACCAGAATTTGTTGAATGCCAAAAGATTTTCCTTTGAAAGCATTCAAATTATTTTTCAACCCTGTTTGCGCGCAAAGTAAAACGTGGCTCTGAAAAATGTCAAAGTTTCGCAAAAGAGAAACTACGTATATCTATCGCGTGTGTAATACGAGCGACTTAATTAAAGTTGTAACACTTGACCGACTTTTCTTTATTTTTTATTAATTACATTCTCGCATTAGAAAAAATTCCTTCGCATGGTACCGACGTTTCAGGGCAGCGTGAAACGGTTATTATCGCATGAGAGGGTTTTGTCTAAAGCGGGCCGTAAAATTAATAACAAGAGAAGCGGCGTAAACGGCGCAGATTTAAAAACGGTTACGTTATTACACGAGCAAGAGGAGATTCCTTCTTACGGAAAACTTGGTGTCATCGTTTCAAATTCATTCTGTATTCTACGGCTGGAGTGGGGGATCGATAATAACTTCGTAAAATATATAGAGCGCTTTGTGCCCTCCAAAATTTATTTTCCTGCTTAGTCTTCAAACGTTCAAGAGCGCGTCGAGAAGTTCAAACCTCTTTCGTCGAGGTAATTTCATAGGTGTACCATTTTTTTTTAAAAGCGCAGTCCTTGCATCTATAATCGATAAAGTACATAAAATATCTTCGTCCAGATACCAAATCTACTTTAACGTAACGAAATACTCTCATTTATGAATAAGTAATAGTTAATCGATTCATGAATACGCAAATAACCCAGTAACAGTTCCCGTTTCGATAAAATAAAATTCATCCAGTAGAGGATTAAGGTTCTCGAGAAGTTTCGTCGGACCTGTTTCGAGTTACGCTCCGAGCAATTTAAATCTGCACACGCCGGAGTGTTTGGAATATTCCCGAGTCAGAGATTCGAACGTCCATCGCCTGGTCCCGCTCGTGAGCGACCGCGGTCACGTGGCGGGACAATTTATCCGAGTGAGTCAGGTCTAGCGGGTCGTCTTACCTAGAAATAGCTCGTTGAAGTCACCCTGCCCACCGATGAAGACGCCGTAGTGTATGTTGAGCTCAAAGAAATGTCCAGGCAGAAGTGCTCTCGTCGTGTGTATTACGTCGATCTGCAGCGTGATGTTAGCGTCCCGTCTGGTCAGGTTGACCTCGTGCCAGCTCAGGTCGTTCAGGGTCAGCCCGCGGGTGCTGGCCATCTCGCTTTCACCTGCGCCCAGATTGATGTGAACCTGCGGGGAAAATAAGGAAAAAGCCCCTCTTGAATCGTCAGCCGTGGCGAATAGTTCCGGACGACTCGCGGAGATCGTAACGATCCCGAACTCTGGCGATAAGTTTCTCGCCGAGGTGATTATTCTGCGGTCGACGGAGCTCGGAGAGAAAGATATCGCGTTTCCGAAGCAACGCGAAACTCTCGTCGAAGGAGAGTCTTTCGTCGAAGGAGAACGTCTCCGGGAGATTCGAGTCACGAGCGATACAATATTTTCGCAATTTTCCGACGTTTGGATTTAAAAGAACGTCTCGGTTTCACGTCGAGGACACGATTTCGTTTCTCTTATTATTTCGTTTCCCGTTTGTGCGCGCATAGAGAGACACCGAAACGCAAAGATGGCCAAACGAATTTATTTATCGCGAGGACCGCGCAGTCGGATGATAAAGGGAAGTACATATTACTTTAAAACGTTGAACCGTGGTTAATATTGTCGTGAAGCGTACGAGTATTCTAGTTTTGTTTGCGCGATACTTCTTCCCGGGAACTTCAAAGTAGCGTCGCAAGAATGAGTCCTAAAGCTTCGAGGGCTCGAGCCTTGCGGAACTTTTGTACTCGAGTCGAGTCTTCGAGGCTTCGAGGCTCGTCCTTACAACGCTGCTTCGAAGAATACGACGGAGAGGAAGCGTTTGCTTCTTTTTAATTCCGTTTACGATCTTTTCGTTGAAAACGATCCCCCGTACGTAGAACGATTCGAAGAAAACGAAGCCAGGAAATGAAGGGTTTGGGATATTTTCGGGGACATCGTGGTTATGAAATTTGGAGTCTCGATGTTTCCTCGCGTAAACACGCGCGACACGAGGCGAGGGAGTTTTAAAAAAAAAGCATTCGCGAGGAATGCCGTCGCGTAACTGGTTCACGGAATAATCCCTTCTTTATTTAGGAAAGCCGCTCAGCGTCGGGTCCGACTTCTAAGTGAATTAAAATAAAAATTAGCATCTATTTAAGGGACGTTCGGCCGTTTAAACGCCAGCAGGGAATTTCTGTCTCGCAGGTGGAAAGAAAAGCGGCCACGTTAAGCCCCCAGGCACCGTTAAAAAGAAACAGTTGACACCGAGAAGAGTAGCTAGTGCATTTTATTAATCCGTAGCTCGACCCTTTCACGCGGGTCGCCGCGACGCCCGCAAACGGCCGGGGATTATACGCGTGCCTCTTTTCCCCTTTTTTTTTTTCTTTTTTTATTCGCCTTTTCCCCAGGCCGTCTTGGACCCGGCATTATAAGGCCGGTTCGAGTAATGCATTATCGAGTTAGTGGGTTGACGCGCGACCCGCTTCAGCTAGAGACGAAGCGGTAGCCTCTGATAAAGAGTCTTTAATCGCGACCTAAATCGAGCACGCTCGAGACTTATAGCGTTACAGCACGATCTCTACGTGTACCTTCGCGATCCAGCTCCTTGCTGCTCTTGTGTAGAGGATCGGAGCCACCACCGACGACCAAAGTGGTCGTGTATCTCGAGAGAGCTAGGCAGTCAAGTTGCGCCCAAATAAAGTCCCCTTTGCCAATTAATCGCGACCAAACGAATCCTTGCTCATATTTATCTCAAAGATAGAGAAGATTCTCTTTTAATTATATGTATAATTACGTATTTGTCAAACGTGTCTTGGGTCTAATTCTTGCGTAGCGCGTACCGATTGGAACGTAACCTATTTTCTGTTTGTCATTCGACATTTTTATTTCGCCCATTTTCCTACGATCGCAGTCCGCGTTTTTCTCGGCGCGGCGCGGGTTCGATGTCCTAACAAAGGCGCGGGCTTTTCGAAGTTGCAAGTTCAGCCAGTGGTAGCGCGATGTCCGATGACTATGCAGAAGCCCATCAATATGTATAAACGCGAGAGACACGACACTTCGTCGAGTGTAAACGCGAATCTATTCGTTTCGAAGGTCGACCGCGTCGGTGCATTATCGATGCGACGTCGATTGGAAAACGGAGCAGCGATCGAATATTCGACTGCTCGATTGACGCGACGAAAAATGCGGCTTCCATACCCAAATTTTTTTTTTTTTTCTCTCTATTGCACGCGAGACGGCGCCGGAAACGTATGTTTCATCGTCAAGTTTTGACAAAAACCCGTGCGGTTGATTGGATCGAGCAACGTTTTTTTTTTTTTCCGCGCGACGATAAAATCAGACGACGCGACGCGTAATGGAATAAACCATCGGACAAACGGCGATGAGCGAACGATATTTTTAGTCTCGAATCTATCGCGATTCGGTGGCTAATTTGCGCAGATTAGATCTATATTAGGGGACCGAAGGGAGAGAGATTTTCCTCGAGGAGTTTAAATTCCGTGATCAGAAGTTTTGGAGAAGACTACGTCCGTAAGATAAGCTAGCATTTTGTACGCTTGCACAAAACGAGGTAAACCGCGAACGCCTGAAACGTCTGAACGCCTGAAAGAAAAGCTTAGTCGACTCCAACTAACCGAAAAGAAATTATTCCTCGATTATTTACGCGATTATTAATCCATACACGGTCTAAATAATAAATAGTTAAAGCCTTGGAGCTGTTATGAGCGGAGTTTCCGGAGGTTTGTTTTAGCGGACCCTCGTGGAACAAAGGGTTGACAGCCGGGGACGTTTTCGTAAACAAATAAATCGAACGGAACTTGTTCATCGAATCGTTCGAAATTGCACGAGCGGATTAGAGCATCGGGGGGCCCTCGATCGGTGTCTCGTGGAATAATCTCCGAATAATCCCGAAGACGGAAGAGGCTTTAAACGAGCAGAACCGCGGGCGAGAGGCGAAAGCTCGTCGACGATGAGGCACACGAGACTGTAACGACTCCATTGCACTTTTTGCCCGGCCGTTTATCCGGTTCTCATCCTCCTTAACGATCTTCTTAACAAATTTAATTAAGCTCAGACACCGTCCTCTCGCGTCTCGGTCCCGCGGACTTAGCCCTTCGCGAAATTAGATTCGCGCGGTTTTCACGCTGGATTCGCGCGACCCAGACCGGGAGACATTTCCCCTGCACCTCGTAATGCACTTAGACTGTATTTTAGCGTCGCGTCACGACACTGGATTACGCGAGTTAACGTCTACCCAAGGTCGAAACGAAAGAAACTGACACCGACGGCTACACGTCGCGCTAGACACGCTACAGACACTGAAACGGATATCGCGGATACATTCGTCTAGCGATTATCTGTTTCGTGTAGTTTTTTACCCGACTTCAAAAAGGAGGAGGTTACTCAATTCGACATGTGTATTTTTTTTTTATCGTGTAATTACGATTCGTGTGGAAAGTACCTCGGAGTCGTGTGGAAATTCGTTCGTAGGTCTCAGCAGGCGTGAAAAATCAATTTGTTTCGTAGATGTGTAGGATGGAGTTTCTGAATCTTAGTTTCATATAAAGTAAATATATATACATAGTGTAGGAGTCTAAACGAAAAATAAGGCACGGGGATTCGAAGCCACGATCCTCGGATCCACAGTTGACCGCTTTACCTACAAGACCAATCCCGTAGCCTAAGTTTCGTGTTCTTATTTGACTCCTTGTTGTTGGGTATGGGAGGCGCGGACACTACAATAGTGTATAAATATACAGGGTGTCCCAAAAATGTTGTAACACCTTGAAAGAGGTGGTTTGGGAGGTGATTTCAAACAACTTTTTCCTTAGCGAAAATGTTTTTTCGAATAAACCCCCGAACCACCCCGTTCAAGGACCTCCAACATTTTTGGGACAGCCTGTGTAGTGTAAATATATATACACGTCGTTAAACGCAAAAAGTATAATTACTGAGCTACCTTCCTCGAGAATTACAACTTTGTAACGAACGATGAGGCGTGTATAAGGGTCAGAGGCGACCCAGAGCTACCGATACACAGTTAGTAATCAGCCTGATTGGTCCCCCAGTGTCTTTGATTGGGTCCCGAGGAAACTCCGTGTTCCCGTTGTTTTCCCAGCTCCTCTGCGAATCGAGCACAGACGATCGAGAGTGTTGTAACTGCGTAATGGGGGTATTAAAGCAATTAAAGCGGGAACCTTTGTACAGGTGTGTAAGTGAGTCGCTTTGTGGGATCAAAGAGGGTCTGGTGACCCTTTCTCCGATTCCCAGTGTTACCCCGAGTTCCCAAACTTGGAGCTGCATCCTTCCAGGCGGTCGGAAGCTAAGCTTTTGTGCGATCGCGACCACTCTCGAGATTAACTTGTAAAACATCATCTACCCGGTGGTCCGGAACGACGACTTGGTTTATCGCGACTGGGACTCTTCCCGATCCGGGCACCTTCCAGCCAGCTCGTGTGTATCGATTTACCTTCGAATGGTTCGATTAACTTCGAGCAATCTGCACCGTGAAATATCGAGATTTACAAGGTACCGTGAGACGCACGCGTCGCTGGCTCGGAATTGAACTCTCTTCGATGAAAAATAAAGATACCATGGCAGATATACGTACGGATGACGTTCGAAATTAACAAAAACGTTCCAGTTTCATTTTTCCCGAGATTTAAGGCAGTTATTCTAAGATTTACGTGGTCGATACTTCCTCCCATTGGCTCTATCGATTCGTAATGAAGCTACACCGTACATGTTTCTATTTTCCTTTTATTTCAACGGTGAAATCCACGAAGAGAATTGATACGAAGTAAAGCAACGATAGTTATAGCAACGAAACGGTTCCGTGAGAATCGCACGTATACTCGATCAAAGAAGGAGATATTTCACAGCGGCGGCAATTTAATAACAACACTCGCGGCTAATACGCGTTGACGTTTCAGGCGTTCGCGGTTTATTGCTACTTACCATGCGTTCGTCGTTCCGCGAACGCGACACTGGGACATAATACATCGGAATTAGCGTTAATGAGTCGTGGAGGATATGAAGCCAGTTATATTAATCGTCATGAAGTTGTGTATACCCGTGGCGGGAATCCAAGCGTTCCGTCGTTGCGATTCTTCTCACGAAATCGTAATTTGTAACTGGAGCTCGTCGACAATTATTACCTAAGAGTAAAGCGGCCCCTACGGGCGTCTACGTCCCCGGTGCGTGATTGTTCGTCGTAATGCAACCAGTGCGCTCGGCGGAGCCGTTTAATTTCACCGGGACGAGATATTCGTTACACACGGCGCCGCGACGCGCGGCGTCACGACGTCACGGCGATCGTTAATAACGTTCACGTTAATGCGGAGGGAAATACTCGCGGCTGCGAGGGCTCGCCTCTCTGTCCGTTCGAACTCGGCGATTCTTCGCTTCTCGAGCCTTCGCATCGAACGTACGAATTAATCTTGTTCGCGACACGGAACCGCGAACTGGTAGAATGGAAATCGAGAAGGAGGACAAGAAACTGGCGTGGAATTCCTTTACGAATTGGGAAAGGAAGATGCTAAACAAAAATGGCCAATTTTGAGATAGCTGAGGGAGCTAGGTTAGAGTTATGGCATCGTTTGGTAAGTTTCGAGGAAGGTTGTTTAAAAAACAGACCAAGGAGAAGGTGCATTGTATCAAAAGGAAATTCATCTCTTTACAGATTCAGATAAAGACTTGAAATTTAAACGAAAGTATGTCTTGTATTATATTTTCATTTGCTATAAATCTATGATCATCCGCAGTCCAGTAATAAGTATTTGTATCTCCTATGTCTATCGAAGAAATTCTACATTTAGGTTTGATATTTCCATATAAATTGTTCATATATCTGTTGAAATATTCATTTGAGAATATTAAACCTATCATTTAGACCAAGACTTTTCTTAAACTATAAGGTCGGTTAACGATATTTTGGGTCGCGAGATTTCAATATAAAATACTTAATATTCTCTTTTATTTATGTTATTGCAAAAAAATGCAATTTTGATGAAAAATAGGGGAGTAAAAGTTCAAGAAGCCCTGATTTAAACAATTTTTCTTCGACAGACACAGAGGAAACGAATACTTGAGGAACTGGTTCGTTTACGTGGTCGAGGAATCGTTCGTCAAGGTAGAGTTTATTCGATTCCGTCGATATCGCTGTTATTCCGTTTTACACGCGTCAAAGTAGCGCGATCATTTTCGCGGATGTTTGACAAGCGGCTGTCAATCGAGTTCGGACGTCGAGTGAAAGCGGAATATATTTTTCACGGTTGTTTCGGGAGCGAAAAAAGCTTCGGATTCGGCAGCCGTCGCGACGCGTCGTTCCCAAGTAAATCCGATGTTTTATTTCGCGCGCCGCCACGAAAGTTAAATTTGGACGCGTCACGTTTAATTGAATTAAAAACATTGGTCGTTCTGGTGGTCCGGCCGTTGTTGTATTTCGCGAGACACGGGACCAAAAATTGCTCCTACGGGAGCATCGATGGACAGCTTGTAATATACGGTCGCTCTCGATTCGATTATGAAAATATTCGCGCTGTATTCACAGCGAAAAGAGTTACGATCAAAGAGAAAGATAAGGAAATTTTGCTACAAAAAATGTAGAATATATTTTTCTCGTACAGTTTAGTACCTTGGATTTTGTATCTCAACCGGGTGGAATATGAAACTATCCTATTCCCTCGCACGAATTTTTTTGAAAAATCATTTTATTCCAGAAACTCGACGAACACTTGTGAAATCGTTTGGTAACGCTACGATAGTTCGCCCTGGCGTCGAGTGCAGAGGTTCGAACCGAATAAAGCGAGAATTTGAGTGGCAAAAAAAAAAAAAGTGGGGACGATATACACCGCGACCTGTTTATTTTATAACAACCTTTACGTCGAAACTCATTATTGGCCCGACGCTTCCCGGCGCTGGAAACGGTGATTTACGAGTGAACTTGATGCCGCGAGATTGGCTCGAACGAAATCAAAGGGTGAGGCGTTAACTTTCCGCGAACGAGCTTTATGACCGCTTTTAATTTCGCCGAAACAAACAGATCAAGGAAACAAAAAGAAACAGTTTTCGTCCCACTCGTTTCCCCTCTCGATAAACTCGATTTACTCTAGTAAAATGAAACGCATCGATCACCCCCTCCGTTCCTCTCTGGCGCGCTCGCGGGTAACGGCGCACATAAATAAGATGCTTTTACTCGAGGAGTTTTAATGGCTTGAATAAAACGGGCGCAACGGCGTGACGTTGTTAAAATCAAGACACGGTTTTTATCGAAGTTATAAAACGTCCGTGCAGTGAACGCTGTCGTTTCGTGTGTGCTCGCGTGAAATCGTTCCCTTCTTTTTTTTTTTCTTTTTTTTTTATGCCACTCGTTGTCGCGTGCTTTAACCACCGTTGCTCGCCCCCTTTTCACGTATCAAAGCGAGTCTAATTTCTTAGCGAGGACAAGCTCGCGCGAAGGTAACTAGCGATGGGATCGAGTTCGATGCGAGCTCGAGGATCGATCAATTTTTTGTTTACTTCGTCGCTCTGAGAACTATCGACTGTCGATAAGTCTATTACGAACAATTCGTATATTCAAAACTGCTTTAAAGATGCATAAATAGAATCATTCGTTATTATTTCTTAAAATTCGGTGCGCTTCTATAGTGCGCGCGCCTCGGAAATCGATGAAATAAATTCGTTAATTTATTTGCCCGTTCGTGAGAATTTGTAAATAGGAATATCCATTGAAAATTGATATTACGGCAGCGTCCTTCGTAACTCTGACACAAACGGACCTGACGAGTACGGCACAGATATGTTATCGAGAAGGGGCTCGTGAATTTTCGAAATTGATTGTCTCGAAAATGAAGGTAAATTTAATTACGGAAAGTAAAATTTCATTGTTTCGTTTTCAATTAACGGGTTCGCGAATATTACTCATGATAGCCGAATTATATACCGTTATTATGTGTACCGTACCAGGTCCCCTCGGGCTATGCATCCGTAATTCTCATTTTTGAGAAACCAATGATCTTCTGGTTCCGCACAAACAAATGTGAATCGTTGAACATGGATTCAACCATTCTACCCACGACGTAGGACGCTTATCGCTATTTGTCAACGTCGACCACGCGTCCAAGAACGAAGTTCATGTTTTCCAACTCGAAGAAGACCGTCTCGGTACCGTCGAAGCATCGTGCGCGCGATACCAGTCGCATACAAAATTCCCTCGGCCAACTTCGCGTCATTTCTTCATTTTTACGCCCGTGTCTCGTACCGCGAATTTCAGCCGCGGGCTTCACGCTTCGATACGACTTGGAAACTCCGGCAGCGAGCACGTCCGATGCTTGATGCCATTACTTAAGTGTAACGCAGTCTGACAGCCGTGCACCCGTGGCACGTGCGGTTGGTTAACGACCAAACCGCGGTCCCCGAAACAGAAAGCCTATTAATAGACGCAAGCATCGAGGGCAAACGAACCTTCAATCTGCCGGCTTCGAGTTTGATCAGGCAGTAATCCGTCTTGCCAGCGGCCAATAGCAGCATCGCGTCCGCGAGATGGGTTCGGAACCGGAAGCTGATGTCGGTCGCACCCTTGGCTTCCTGGACCGGAAGATGAATGTAGCTGGCCCCGTAAAATGACACTGCAATGAATTTCAGAAATTTATTGTCACCGTCGTCGCGGCCGTGATTGTCTCAGGCATCGTCGACGAGAAATACAGGTATGCTCCGTTCTTTGAACCGTCCGTTCTTTGAACCGTCGCGTAATGGGTAACGAGGTGTTTCTTCGAGACGGCTCCGTGGAAGTCGCATGGTACCGAGGCGCGGCAAAGGATCGAAATAACGAGCGAAAAGGCGGGGTTGAAGATTCCACCATTATTTCTCGCGTCAATGATGATTGCGCGCTCCTATGACGCTCTTTCCGCGTTTATTGCTCGCCGAGATTAACTTTTAATCTGAGTTTTACTCCTCTGACACGAGGAAATATCTTGTAAGGAGAAATTATCATTTGGGAACTGGGAAATTTATGCAAGGCTTCGTTGGTCGCGTTTGTTTATACTTTGTTTGCGCTGTGTGTAACGATTATTTATTTATTTATTCATTTATTTATTTATTTCAATATGTACGGATAGCATAGCCCATTATGTAATTAATACAGTGTAGCAATTATAAAAAAAACTTATTAACACTTGGTTGATGTCAAATACAATAACAAAGAAAAATAAGAAACCAGAGAAATGGAGACAAGCACAGCATATTGTGTGTATCATGTTCGGCTAGAATTACAATTGAATTTTTGAATGCCGAAGTTAGCCGTCGCACATATTCTCGTAATGCAGTTTCGTTTACCTATCGAGGTACGGTACGGATAAGTACAGAAAATATTATTGTTTCTTGGGATATTAAATTTCAATGAATCCGATATCTCAGGACATTCAATTTTTCGGTTAATAATTTTGAAAACGAGCAATTCTAATTTCTCAAGAATTATCAAGTAACCAAAGTAGCCCCTACTTTTCCCGCATCGTATTTCAGCGTATTTCTTCGGATACTATTTATTACGTCCCTAGAGTACAGAGGTGAAAACATTGATAAACCAAGCACGTTGAGCACGGCAGGTTCGGAGCTGCCAGGAATAATTTCTACGATTCCCATAACGTTTGCAAAGCCTCGCGCCCTGTTTGCTCAACGTTGGAAGCTTAAACACTAGCTTTTGTATAATTTACCGCTATTAACAAAGACCGGTTACGAATTATTAAGCGCGCGATCGCGTATAAAGGAGACCGTGCATTTTTCATACTGGCATTCATTCGCGTCGCATATTAATTCTTCGATTTTCGCGCGATTATGTTTGCTTCTCGTCAACAAGTTCGACATTTCCGCCTCGAGTTTGAGATTTTCGATATTCTACAACAGTGACGTACTCGTCTTCAGTTGCTCGTATCAACGTTTCCTCTCCCACTAAATAATATCATCGATCTAACATCTCAATTTAAATTCGATATCTCAGCTCTCGGTGAAACCGGGTTTCGCCCTCAGGACTTGTACTCGTGTTTCCTCCTTTCCGCTGGCGCTCCGATCCGCTCTGATCGACAACCACGAGTGTCTGTAGGCGGGGGACGGAGTTGCCTTTCATGTCAAGTCTAATTTGCGTCATAAAGCTTTGTACTTGTATCTGTCTGTTACGTTATATACAGGAGCGAATCTACCACGTAACTAATGAAGCCTCGACTTGGAGACCCCGTGTGCATAGGACCCCCGAGAGCTTCTTACTCATCGATTCGAAGCACGGAAGCCTAATTTCTTATCGCGTACGAAAGTTTCTATAAAACTCGAAGGAACGAGAATTTATACGTAAACCCGCGTAGAGACCGTCTTCTTGTTCGTTGTGATTTTATTATTCTTCTGGTTAGATTCGTTACTACATCCAAACAAACGTTTACATTTACACCGCGGTTGCCGAGCGTTCGCGAAAATACCGTTCGATGGCTAGAGAGAACCGAATATCCAGCGAGGGGAAAATGCAGCTCCGATAAAACAAACTAGCCCGACGAGGGCGGTCAGGATTCAATTGACGTTTCGTCGATCATTATAAAAGCAACGGCACAATATTTCCCATTAGCAGATGTATCCCCGTCGAGACGGCCGCGTCGAATGGAGCGAAAAAGGAAGATCGCGAGACGAGACGCGAAAGCAGAGAGAAAAGAAGACGATTGAAAAGCCCGGCAAGACCGATGAATGAGCGACTTGAACTCCTTCAAACGAGCGTCGAAGGAAAGGAGAGATTTCGCATCGGTCTCTACCGAGAAATCGTACCGCGGCGGTCAGGAACTTGTAAAGAGTTTATTTCCCCGGTGGCGTGTAAATGATGTAAGAAAGCGTTCGAGTACGTGGAATAACCGCACGGGTCATTAAGTGCGAACAATCCCCCCCTTTCTCTCGTTCTTTTCGCAGTCGCTGGATCGCGGGAGGGCGCGCGCGGAAACGTTTAACGTCGATCCCTATCGATCCTCGAGTTGCGTGCTCTGTCCGACGCCTTCGTCGTTGGTTCATCCAGGATTCATGATTGGTTCGTCGGTTGGTTTACTCGATCAGGCATTATTTACGCTTATAGCACCCTCTTTGGTAATATCACGATCGGGGGTGTCGACGACGGATTAGCGATGCTTTCTCATCGAAAGTGAGCCCAAACGGCCCCTTATCCAAAGTATTTTTAACGTGTTAAGATATTTGTGGTATAAGTATTTTAGTATCCATGCTTAGGTAGAAGAAGATAGAGTCAAAGGAGAACACGAATCGTAGAGCGCGGTGATGGTCGCGGGTTCGAGTCTCCGTACCTTATTTTACGTTTAGACTCGATCTAGATCTTTAAATTTCGTATGATTATACAATCAGTTCCGTAAGTATTCGTACTGTCGAATAGGGAATAAAGGAATTTGTTTAAATTAAATGTCAACTCTGATGTTTCTGAATAAACTTTTATTATAAATGTATAGATGTGTATAGGTGTGTGAAGCCTGTTCATGTACGTATCCATAATAGAACATTTATTTGGAACCATCTATCATTTCCCATCAATCTATCATTTAATTTAGTCGAACTACTTCAATCAACATAGAGCGTACGAATACTTATGGGACTGATTGTAAGTAGTCGGAACGAGGTGGTGTTTCAACTCGTTCTCGTCGAGAAATCATCGCTGGTCTATCGTACAACGACGAATACAACAATTTTAGAGAAGCATTGGTGACACGACGATGACTCCGAAACACTCGCGAAGAATTACAGGGCAAACGTCTATCCGCGCAATCCACTGATTCATCCCGGACATTGGAAACTGGCAAAACCAGAGTGGAACGGCTATTTTTGATTTTTGTAATCGTTTCCATTCGATGCCCAAATCCCCGGAATCAATTAATGTATCGGAGGAACGCGAGCGGTTTTAGAATATTTTGACGTGAGTTTCCGAGGCACTATCGTTACTATATCTTCGTGAGCCATTATTCTCGTAGTGCCTAGCGTTCACGGAATCAAATGTATCATTAATCGAATTATTCGAACACGTATTGCGGCATTTTAAAAAATTCAACCCCTGATAGGGTGAAAAGGGGCTGCAAAGTTCGTATCAGCGCCTAAGCTAAACCCTTGAACTCAGAAAGCTGAAATCGTGCACAGTGGTTTCCTTTATGATTTATACAAGGAATAAGAAAGGTTATTTCGAAATTCAACTCCTAAGTGGGTGAAAAGGGGTTGCAACGTTGGTATTTCACGCGAGCGAAAGCACGTGATGCAGCTAGTGTAATAATATCGATAGAAGTTACCGAAACGTAATTCATTAAAATCCGAAACTGAATGTAAATATAACATTGTAATGTTATGTACTCGTGAATTACAAACCTCAACAATTTCATCTGTTGATGAGAAATAAGAAACGTAGAGACGAGGCAGATGTATAAAAGAATTCATAAAATTTCCATTAGTATCGTTCAGAGAGATTCCGGGAAGTGGAGTAACGAATAAATCTTTTTTCAGCGCGGATACAATAGGTTAACGCAGGAAGAAGTGTGGATTATCTTTCGGTTTGGTGTAACTCTGCGAGCGCGTAATGCGCGAGGAGTTACATCGTCGAAGGATAATCAATTTTTTGTACCCTCGCTTGGAAAAGATTTGCAGTGAGATTTATGTTTCCACCGCGAGCGGCAGTTCTTTAAAGTAGCACATTGGAGGAACTGGCAATCTCTTTGAAGAGACGAAGCATCGCGACGGCGTCTCATCGATCGTCGAACAGGTTCGAAAATTCCTAGCGCGTTCGGAATCGTCCGACACTCGCCACAATGCGGTCGCGGGGATCTTGTATATTAGCAATCGGTTTCTGATAAACAGTTTGCTTCGCGTATCTTCGAATTAACCTCCTATCGCTATTCAAAGCACCCGAAACACCTCGAAGGAACCAAAACTGGAGACACCTTAACGAATTTGTTGCAAGAGGTCTCGATTGAAACATTTTTCTTTTTTTTTCTTTTTTCCACGAAAGCACTTCCTTGACTTTAACGACCAATTAAAACACGTAAAGTAAGCGTCAAGGGAACCTAACCGATTAAATTACACGCCGCGATGCGAATCGAAACGAGAACGATGAAAATTTTCGCTGACGCGATCGAAAGGTGGCGCGAGGATTTTCATCTGCCCCTGGATGATTATCAAGAAAGTTCGTAACTGTTCTTCTCGAGAACTTTGCGTTAGCCCTGGAAATTATCTGACGCCTGAGAATCACGTGTTACGCATCGGTTAAGATTATTCGCAATGCTGACGTATTTTTGTGAAAAATTTCACTGTCTCGACAGCAGCAGTGAAGAAGTTGGCGAGGGTGGTCAGTTCGCGGTTGTTTCTCTATGTCTTCTAATCTCGTGTCTTATATCAGAATCGCGGGAACATACAAAGCGAGTCATAGTTGAATAAAAAGATGTTGATAAATATAGACCTACCAAGCAATGTAGACGTATCATAGAAAGGATGAGAGAAATTTCTGAAAATTTAGACAATCAAAGGGTTTCAGTGAGAATCGATAGGAATATGAACACGGTATATTCAAGAAGGAATAGTGGAGTTACTGATATCTTGACAGCACCGAGTATTAACAGCATTCGGTGCGATCACGAAGTTATGTCTCTCGCCTACAGTAGTTTACATTGATGTCCGCCGGGGAGGATTGAAACGAGTGACCGTCAGTTTCAATGGCTGCTTTAAACATATCCATTACGAAGTCCCATAAGTTTTCGATACATACTCCGCATCGTCGAGGTCTCCGGGTCGCGTATAGAGAATGCCTTGGAAACTATTAACACTTTAATCGGTTCCGAAACTGTATCAGTTATAGCGAAATTTCATAGTGGTCGTACCATGGGCAGCGAGAATATGTGGAAGGTCGTCTTCTTTAAAATAGACTGATAAATTCTTACTGTATGTATTTCGATTATCTATCAGTGCGGCGATACATTTTTATTCGTCTTTTCGTATGAGTTGGGGAGATGGAAGCAAAATTTCCAGGTTCTTAACACTGTGCTTGCCAGACTAACAGTCTCGAAAATTTCTACTGCGATCGAGTTTAGCTTAGACTATTGGAATCTACGTAATCAAACATTTCGTGTGGCGTTCACTTTTGTAACTTCATCGAAGTTCAACGTAGAGATCGACGTGTTAATCTGGAATTCTTAGGATCGAATGCTAAAATAGGTTGATATAAAATAGGCTAAAGTGGTCCAAAGGATAGAATATCATCGTGGTGTCGAATGAACCGTGAAGAGTCCAACAAAGCAGCGCTTAATTTGGAACATTACCGCGACTGCATCTGGCGGGTTTGAACATTCGGTTGTACAGTAAGCCAAATAAGTACCACGGTTGACTTGTACAGGGTGTATAAAATCGGCTGGATTACGGGTCGGCACGTTGGGCGTTCGTATCGACGATTATGCACCGAAATTTCGCTGGCCCGTTTCGAATCGAGATCCTGGCTTTCCAGCGGCGATCGTTCGCTAAGCCGGCGGCAGCATTTAATTAACAAAATCCGTCGATTCGCGCCTTTCCGGCGAACAATCATCGGCGTAAAGGGAACCGTTCTCGAGCCGCTTTCGCGTGGCATTAATTCACGAACGAATTATGATGGATTAGAGAAATGGAACGCGAGATAAACGGGAATTGATTATAACCACTTTGCTGCTGCTTATTTCCACCGTGGAATTTCGTTTATCTAAATCGCGGCTCGATGAACCTACGCGAATTTCTAAAGAAGCACAATTTGTATTTGTCAACGCGTATTTAAACTTACCGAAACAAATGAAGAAAAGAACTCGATGAACATTTGGAAAATAGTGGCCAAGCTTCGAATCGGAGAATTGCTTCGGCCAGAGAACGGCAAATTCGTCTGCATAAAAGTTTTAAATTTGATCAAAGTCCACTATTAAACAAACTTCGAACGAGAGTAAAAATTGAATAATATCACGCGACAAACAAAAATTGAATCGTTCGAGTTAACGCGAGATGCACGAGTAACTCTACGCCCTAATGTTGCTAAATCGATTCTACGAATCGGGATTGAACAAAAATGTTTGATTCCGTGCGAAAATAGTTTGCGCGCGGCGTTTGATTATCGCAAAAATACGAGGCTCGGAATCAAGACCGTTTCATCGAGAAAATTGATACCGATAAATTCGATTTCCATAACGTTCCGACGAGGAAAAAGTCATCGGTTTCGAAACCGTGCCGCCAAAAAGTTTCCGCGCTGTGAAATCCGATCTTTGATGCTTGATAGATCTGCCAAACGTTGGATTACGTAGCCAAATGAAAAACTGATTACGTTGTATCGATCGTTGGAAAACCCTTTATCCATCTCATATTCTTTCGCGGGGTCCAATGGATTTTGACGTTCGTTCGAAACGGCAAAGGGCGGTTAACGACCGTTCGAAACGACGATATCGAAACCCGTCGAATCGCGATTGTGCATAGATGACAAAACTAGTTTCGCGATCATTTACCTTGGTTAGCGTTGAAAGGAATCATCGAAGCACGACGTACATCTATGTTTCACCCAAGCGACGGTGGCCAATTTAAAAGTGGCATCGGCGTAGCGGGAAGAAATTTTGAGAGAGGTCTGTCGGGCAGTCGAGCTCGCGAACAAGGTGGAAAGAATATTAAAAGAAGACCGTCCACGGTGGACAACAGTTTACCGGTGGTACAAAGAATTTAAGAGAGGAAACCTAACTACAAAAGACATACCACGCTCGGGACGTCCTGTCGACGCGGTCAGGCTAGCAAACGTTGATGCAGTACACAGTAAACGAGTTACTTTATAATATTAATAGAGAAGCTTGCGCGCTTAAAGAAGACAATCGGCTACGTAGTCTTGACGGAGCAATTTATTTACGTCACGAACAGCGTATTTCGAGTCATTTTCAGAACGAATACGATTACGCGACATTTAGACATGGGAAAGTAAATTATGAAAACGTCTAATAATTTCCAAGCAGAAATATAAATACAATCGCGAGCTTTTTATTCGACAGAAATTTCAACGATCGGCTTAGTCGCACGTGCTGGCGTATTGTTCGCGAAATTATTTCTGTAGAATTAAATAAACGTAGCTCCGTTACAACGGTTTTTTAGCGCCCCATGGGCAACCTGTCGCACTGCAGATTCGACGACCGACAGATTGGAGCTCATATGTCCGTGCAACGACAAGTTGAAAAGATTTCTCGCTGCGATTTTAACTCAGAGACAGAAATGTTTGGCGCCAATTAATTCCATTACCGAGCTGAATGCGTCGTTATCCACGCTCGCGATCGTTGTAACTCATCGCACGATAAACCGTTGCGTTTGTACTCGATGCGGATTAATTAGTTACTCATCGATGTATCGATCACACCGGCGTCCAAGAGGGACGAACATCGAGGCGATTCAATTTTTCGTTTTTCTGTTTTTTTCTTTTTTCTTTTTTCTTTTTTTTTTTTTTTGTTTCAACGTGGACCATCACGACCTTGTCGATGCGGAAAATCGGGATTCAACGCGAACGTCGATCGTTCTATTTCCCCCCGTTTTACTCCATTTTCCTCGTTTTTTCCCTCTCGCAGTTTGTTAGGACCTTTCAAACCTGAGTCGGCCGATTCGCGTTATTTTCGAGCGTCAGTTGCCGGAACTATCGGCGGTCGCCTAATTGTGCGAGGAATTGTGGCCTTAAAGCCGGGAAGAATGTTTACATCGCGAGCTGGAGGGACTTTATACTTTGCGGGGTGGATAAGAAGAGTCTCGCGCTCTTTAGTAATATGCTGATTGCGGCAGGCGAAGAATCATCTTTTAAAGAGATTTACTCGAGTCAAAATTAATTAAAGGTACACGAAATGCTACTTGGTTTCATCTCGATGGCTTCCTAGAGGAAAGAAAATGATTACACTTCTGTAAATCGGATATCGAAGTTTTCACTGATGCGTTTCATTCGTGAGCGACATTGAGATTAAAGCGTGACAAATTTTCATGGCCGCGTAATTGATCGCGCGGTGCGCACAGCGGAGAGGGAATTTTTCGAAAAAGGACGGTCGGACGATTTTTCTATAGCGATATATAAATTGTCACGGCGCGTCCCGCAATTTCCATGTAGCGGATCGTGAAATTTGAATTGCTCGGACCAGCGGACAAACGGAAAGACGATATTGCAAAGAATAAACGAGATTCGCGGACTGTATCGTCGCGATTACGGATGATCGAAAGCGCGTATCCGGTAGTCTCCTGGTTTGATACCGCGTCCACGTCTCGTAACCGCGTCTCTTATTACTACATTAATCCTTTTCCATTCGGTTTATTCCCGGTCGGCAGCCCGTTGCACAAACAGAAGTTGATTTCGTAATTAACCTCTCGATATTTACCGCTTCGTTTATTTCACCATCGAGCGCAGGACGGAAATATACTTTCGGTAGCCGCTGATTGACGAATCCAATTAAAAACGGGGAAATTTGGTGCGTTTGTATCTGCCTTCGTTTACTTCTACCCCCCCCCCTTCTGTTCCGCCTCCACCGCCGATATGTCCCATCAACAATTACTAAATTACCGGCGAAATGAAAATTTCGCACGCGGCCACGACGCTGGAAGGTAATTTAGTTGGCTGGGAAAATTCATTATTTCGACGACGCTTAAAAGGATCCGGGTTTCTTGTTTCGCGACTGTGTCTACGAATTCACCGAGTTTCGTTTCTCTTGCGTTCGAAACTCGTTCTCCCCCGGGCAGGGATAATTACGTTCCGTCGTCGATCCTGCGATCGTTCGGTTTACTGTAGAATTTAGTAAAGTTTTTTAAAAACCTAATTAGATAGAAATTTCTCGAACTTTTAACCTTCTAGTGGATAATACATGCAGTGTAGAAAGTATTCGTACACCGATCAATTTCCAAAAAGACTATGTGAAATTCTAATTTATTAACTTACTTTTTATAAACAATGACGTTCTATTTATTCTCGGAAATCTCTAGAATAGATAGAGTATAAAAAAAAAAAGAAAAATAGCTATTTATCTAAGTTACGAAATTAACAAGAAAAAAACAACTAATAAATGTTGTTTGGACTATATCTATCTTAGAGATTTCCGAGAATATGTAAAATATCATTGATTACAAAGAAAGAAGTTGAGAAACTACAATTTCATAGAAAAGTTTTTTGGGATATTGATCGATGTACGAATACATTCTACACACACTGTATAAACATGCGTATAAACATCATTGACGTTTCGATAAGGAGACGCTATTCTTGTATAATAAAAGACATTCGGAGGACGGGGGAGGTCAGTCCGCGGCATATTCGGCTGTAAAACGCATTCACCGCCGGCCACTCGTTTCGCCGGCCATAAAAGTTCATCCCCCATCGCTTCCAAATTTACGCGAAAGTTTAACGCGGCCAAAGAGTGGAGCAAAACCCGCGTTTCTTTCGTCATCGTACAAGGGACGCCTATACGTTACCTTTTTCATCCGTTTGGCAGTAGCCCAAAAGGGACGCCGTTACTGCTAAGAACATTAACAGCCCCATGTCGTTGAGAAACATTAGGCTCCTCCTCGAACGTCTTCCTTCAACCGTTCCCTCCTGGTTTCCCTCGAGGACGCGTCGCGTCGCCTCTCGCGCGGCGTTTCACGTCGTCGTCGTTGCTCTTTCCGTCTAGGATTCGCGCGACGTTGGAAAAGTTTACGGCGCAGGAACGTATACACAACGACACTTAAGGGATATCGGCTCCACGTGACGGGAATTACGAAACCGGCTATTTACGGGTTAAGACTGGCGGCCGTGTACTTTTCCCGTACGTTTCCCCCGGCGTCGTTCGTCACGCACAACGTCGAAGCTCGTTGCGAACGATGATCGAATCCGTGCCCCGGGTCCTGTCGACGTCGATGAGTCAAGCGGTCGACGTGGCTCGCGTTGCTCTCCGCGCCGGTTTCTCGATCGTCGTTTTAGTCAACATTCACCACCACTCGTCTCTATTTTCGGGAACGAATCAGAGGACTCCGTTCGTGGCAACGCGGAAACAGCGGCACCGGCGGCTCGGTTCGCACGCAAGCCGTAAAATCGAACTGCTGCTCCCGTTAGTTAGGGATGTTCGATTCTCGTAAAGAAACCGATTCTGGAATCGACGCGGAACGGCTAGAATCGATTCGCCGGGAAACCCGAGTCCTACGAAATCGATCCGAACGGGGTCCGGTCAAGAAATCGTTTCGGATTCATTGGAAATTAGGTGCTGAATTAATTGGAGCTTATCAGCTGTATGCTCGATGGTAGATGGTTTAAAGGCAGTAAATTCTGTGGATACCGGGCGCGTAGAAGCGTTTCGTTGGAACGGACATTCCCTGCAATTGGCAAATACCGACCGGCAATTGGCGCTTAACTCTTTAACTGCTCGAGCTTAATCGAGCACGGATAAGAAAATGCTCGATTTTCTAGATTGTTCTAGGCGAGCAACTTTAAACTTTTTCCTTTCCGTGGTCAATTCCGAGATACTCCCGGTATATTAATCCAGATGGGCTACTTAAAAATAAACTACGATTGCCATAAGCATTCTCGCGAACAATTCCGAAAGGCTTTTTTTTTAACGCGGAGGCTTTCTCCGTCCCCGATTAATTGACCAGTGAAAGGGTTAACGAAAGATAAATAGTCCCATATATTTCCCAATAATTCTTGGGGAATGTCCGACGTGGAAAACGTAGAAGCTTCCGGCAGAGTGGTCGCTTTTATCGTAAAAAGTTCAACTATAAAATCCACGTGAAATTCGAAGGGAACAAAAGAAAAACGAAATATCCGCGGCATGAGAACTCGGACGAGCGATACGATTCTTGACTGGAAAATATCCATTCGCGTCGGGACCGTTTCAAAAAGCGGACAACGGCCTCGGATGTTCGATTTTCTAAGAGCTCGAATCCGGAATCGAACGTCCCTACCGTGAGTATCGGTCCGACGACAACGACGACGACGACGACGACGACGACGACGACGACGTTGATGACGTTCCACTAGCTCCAGGCTGCGTTCTACCCTTCGGATCGTCTCCGGCTGGCATCGTGCGCGTACTCTTCTCGTTTCTGGAAAGGACATCGGTGCACAGGTGTATAACGACGGCCACGTTTTCGCTCTGGCGCGGTTTAATCAACGCTGAGAGAGGATTTGGGTTTAGGGCACGTTTACACTGCTGCGACGAGCCGTGCACGGTTTTTGGCAGGGTTTTGGGCGTTCGTGTTGGCACACCGAGCGCCGAGGATGACGCTCGTAGCGTTTAACGCGTTCGCCACCGCGGAGGACGATTCTCGTTAATAATTGTAACGTACTTTAATAATTTCCCCAACTCGGTCCGTCGAACATTAATCGATAGGTTGTTACGTATGGGAACGCTTGTTAGATTTTCAGGAACAACTGTGTTCCAACTACCCATCCATGCGGTGCCGTGTTAGAGCTGTACAAGTAACGGAATTAAATTTTCTGCGAGTAAGATGGAATCGGGGTGTTTCAGGAAATATCGCTCGTTTTAATCGCCGTAAAGCTCCGATCGTGGAAATATATTTTTGTACATACGCAAAATGGGAAGAATCGATTCAAAAATGGTTTCCGTTTAAAAAACAAGCCAAGTGCGTGTCGCATTGTCTCCATTGTCTACATTGCGGGACGCAACCTTTTCCTGTAACAATATGTTGTGTCTTTGCTGCGTAAAGAGCCACAGCTTGTCCTAGATTCTAGAATTACCCTGTATAGTATTCAGCACACCGAGCGAGAAATGCTTTGTCCGATCGGGAGTATTAATTTTTGTTAATTGCTCGATTCCTCGACGGAGAGAATGACAGAATAGTTTTAAACGAATAAATGTACGGAAAATATGCGAATGGAAGCCAGTAATGTCGATTCCACGCATTTTTCACTCGGTTCGTCGAGTGCTACGTTGTCGAAGTCTATAAATATTTCTGTTAATATCGTACCTCGTATGTAACATGTACTAGAGGATTAAACAAAGCGTGATACGCAAATAGATGTAGAGATAAATAAAGCGTATTCGGTACACCGTCCTACAGCTGGCGATTTCTCGTAAAAACGAGTAAAAAGTATCGAATAATATTTTCCAATAGTACAATTTACGAGGAGGATAATTTTCTGAAAGAGCCAACTCGCCGAATGTTCGAGTAAAATAAAAATCATTCAGGATCGCAAAGAAGAACTAAATTAAAAATTCAGTCAGTCGATATACGCGTTATTATTCAGACCTGCGTAGAATTATTTAGGCTAACTACGTTTGCAATTTGTTTTCTCGACTCGTACACGATCGACCGTAACCTTTTGTTTTTTTCCACGCAGGGACAATAAATATTCATTTTGGACGTCAAACGATACCAATGTTTGAATTGGATACGCAAACTTGACTGCGATCGCGTCGTTGAATATGTCCAAGAGCCACATTAACATTATTTAACAGTATTAGTACTCGCAAATAGTGCAAAGCTCACCTATTTACATTTGTCTCTGCTACATCGACGTTTATAGCGAACGCATAATTTATGATAAATAACTTGCGCTTGAACATTTGCACTTTGATAAACAGGAATAATAATAATAATAATAATAATAATAGAATGTAGATGTACAACCGCGCATAAGCCAGTGATTTGTTCGATTCGGAAGACTCTCGTTTTTATTCCATGTTTATCGAATGTTGTATGTATGGTCGGAAGTGTGTACACGCAGCGAGGCAATAACTCTGGCCACTAAAAATATTTTTAATATTTGAGTACCGGAAAATATTTACAAAGCTTCTGCGGTATGAAGAAGGACATACCGCGGTAATAGTTTCTTCGTAAATGGAGACGCAAAGGAAATTTCTCTACCGCGCAAGCACGTATAGGAGCGAAAATCGAAACGCGAGGTCTTCGGCATAAACAATTTGAACGAACCTCCGCAAATACGTTAGGAAGCATTTCATTTGGAGCTACAGGATCTAAACGCAATAATTCCTGAAATTCACCGATGCCACAAATAAAACTTGCAAGCAAGTTGCGCATTATGCCTGTCGTTGCAACGGTGCCGGTAGGGTGCCGGGGGTTAATTCGAAATAAATTTTGTATAAAATTTGATTGATACGATACGCGAAAAAGTATCGGAAATATTTCAAATGGAGATTTATTGCTCCCTCGTATAATCGACGCAAGGGAGGAGAGAACCGAATTCGTGGCCTCTTACGGGAGCGATCAGTTTTTTACCGCACACCTGGCACAGAAACACGTGTTTGTTCCGCGACGGAACGTCGCAAGCCCAGTGTAAACGTGCCCTTACGCGACGTATCGTTCGCTCTCGTCGCTTCGATTCATCAACGACTCGCCACTTGGAGGGCACTTGGAACCAGAGGCGTTTTTCTTGCGCGAACGAAGACACCATCGAGTTCTTTTTCCGTGCGGTCTCTCCGCTCGCGAGCTTTCTCGCGAATGTATCTATAGGTACTCGAGCTCGCCGTTTGTCCGACGGAAATTAATGTCGGGCATTTCTTTGTCGATAGAAGGGATGATCGAATGCGACCATTTGTGATTTATTCGCCGTAGGAAAGGGACGAACGTTTCAGCGAGTTTTCGAAATTAACTGAAATATTCGATAGGGATTTAAAGGTATCCGAAGTAAGTAAACTGATGGAAATAAAATAAATGAGAAATACGGTGTTCTGCGTCGAGGGTGCGTGGCGGTTCGTTCTTTCGTTGAGGATGATGTGTACAACGACAAAAAAACAAAGAGATCAGAGAGGATAATCTTTCATTTAACATTGTAGATCAATGAAAATCTGAATATATTCAAATTTTGTTTAAGTGACCAAAAAATGTTTTCACTGAGAAGTTTACGTGCAATTTTACCAAGAAAAATATTCGCAGTCCGCGTACCGTAGTACGAAAAGCTAACGATCATTTCGAATTTCGCGTTTATTTTCTCACCGGAAACCGACGAGCTTTTAAATCCGTTAAAAAAATCCGTAGGTACGACGAAGCCCGTGGAATTGAAACGCGAGCGGATCCTTTTCGCGGTCGATCGACTCGAAATCCGCTCGAAGAAGGAAAAAAGGGCTCTTTTTTTCGTGGTCGGCCAATAGTCTAAACATTGGAGCAATCCTGCTCGCCCTGGCGACTCGCCACCCTCCGTCTTTGCTCTCCGTTTCCTTTTTCCGTTTTTTTTCTATCGTTTGGTTTGCATTCCCGCCCGCTGGCAGACCGTTTCTCGCGAGAAATCCGAAGCGCTCTGGCTAGAAGAAACTCTCGCTTGGGTCGCGTGTCGGTCTCGGCGAATCTCATTTGCAACGACCGACGTTCGACACGCTAGACGATTCCTCGCCTCGGACCAAAAGCGGAGGGGAACGTTCGGCTAGGTAAGCTGTGTCGCGTTATACGTTACACTACGGGGATCTAAGCCGAAAATGCGACCGAGAGAAAACGAATAAACGCGGAATATTTTTGTATTCTATTACGGAAAGTCACCGTGTTAACAAAAACCGTACGTTTTACCGTCGTTCTACTTTATCGGACGATTAATTATAATAAATTTCACTTTGTATTTAAATCGCCCCGAAAATTTTAACGAGAAAATTCCATCAAACTTTTCAATTAAAACATTTTCCGTATTCCATTACGGGTTCCTTGTTCACGATCAAGATTTTTATGCTCCCTTGTGCAATCACTATGGCACGTTCAAATATTTGAATTACATTCCTATATTTTTCAATTCCAAGAATGAGTCCAATCGTACCGCGAGTATTATTTCGAGCAAAAACTACCCGGTTGTAACAACGTTTTATACGCATTCAGACGTCAGCCCCTTAATTGCTCCAGAATAGAAACCTACTAAATACACGTTTACATCAGCTTTTAAACATTGTTTTCGCGAGTTTCTTTCGAATCCCGGGGCGAATGTCTTTTCGTCTATACGATAATGTGCCACAGCTCCAGAGCCATATTTTTCGCAAACCCTCTGGTCCCTCTCTGCAGCCCCCGTTCTGCTCGTTTGTTCCAAACGCAACGCCGCACGGTAGAATGGAGAACAAAAAACAAAACAAAAAAAAAAAAAAAAAAGAGAGAGAGAAGAAAGTGACCGGCATTTCTATTCAGCGAAAGAGTCGAATACAACGCGAACAATCATCCCCCCGGCGTTGCTCGACCACCCTCCTGCTACCGATATTCAGTCCTAGCACGATCCAACGCAAGCGCGAGCACGTTTTCATCCGCGGGAAAGACTCGACTCGATCGTCGTGATTCCGCTACGTCTGTCGGCCACGCGAGTCGAACAATCGTATCGTGTTTCCCACCGTGAGATCCTCGCTTTCCCGTCCCTTTTTCTACGCCAGGATAAATATTTCACCGGCAGGAGGCGGAGGGCAGAGGATTGCGCCTTCGCCGCGGAAGCGAGATCATTGGTGATTTTACGGAGTCTATCTATCCTCTTTACGCCGCGGAGATAAACGTTTCCCGGAGAGCTTCGAACCGAGATAAGGAAACGTAAGCGATATCTTCGAAAACTCGTAAAGTCTCGTGGATTTCCATAATGCGAACCTACCCCTATATATTCGTGTGCGATCACGTGTGTACCGGGCGAAGAAACCGTCGCTAAATGCGCGACGGCTTAACCCTACGAGAGCTCCTGGAATACGGTTTGCCGCATTGGTTAGTCAAATGGAATTACTCTGCTACTATAGACGTTACGAATCGAAGTATGATTAAATTTAAGTTTGATAAGGGCGTCGAATCGACCGCGATAGTCGGACTCGACAGAAGTCAATTTTAGGATTGAAAGGATTCTTCGCTTCTTCATCTTTGCCAATTTAAAAAATGAAGATACAAAGCTAGACCGTCATCGAAATCGATTATGGAACAAAATTTTACCATTTCGCTTCACACTGACGTCTGTATATAAACTTTGAATAACTAATCGAACGGAAAGTTTTAGTAAATACCGGTGGAACAATTTCCCAAAAAACAAACAAAGGCCGGATATGGTTTCACCGTTTTAATAGCTAGGAAACGAAAAGCCCTTAACGAAGTTACAGATGGAGGAAGGGCAAATCAGTTCCGGACGGAGCTGCGACCCGTATTGGGTCAGACGTTTTAGTCAGACTTCAGGCCTGCAGTAGATTAACACGTTCGCAGTCCGTCCTTCATATACGGGCCACAGCGATTTCGACTCGCAAGGGAGCGGATCCGTCAGATTTTGGCGAAACTTTGGACGAGTGTCCATTGATCGAACCTTGATATGAACTATGCCATATTAATACAGAAAAATGTTCCAAATAAACGTTCTATGGCACTTCAATTATTTCTGTTTCGAAAAAACACTGCAAATTAAATTGCCCGAAACGCGAGTTTTGTTGCGAACATTTTTACAGTGCAGCTTTTTTTTTTCGACCGGTATTAACTTTTTGATAGTAACCGAGATAACGACCTTTTCTGCATTCAACCACTTGCGCTGGCAAAAAATTCACCGACGTTCGTCACGCAGTGTTCGATTCTTCGGAGAAATCGGAAAAAGATTTATATTTTCTAAACTAATTTATTTTCGAGTAATTTATATGGAATAGTATTTCGAAGGAAATATAGAACGTCGGTCGATTACAAAGTTATACAAATATGATGCACGTCGTTTTTGTTTTTGTGACGATCGCACGACGACGTACGTACCACGTCGTTGGCGATTCTGTGACACAGCATCACGACGTGCGTGGCGTCTTGCACGATTGGAACCCCAACGAAAATATACCTGCAGTGATCAACGAAGAAATTTTATAGGATTTGCGCGTGATAATTTCTCGTAGCTCGGCAAATTCAATAGCTTGCGTACAACCACGAAATCATTTTTTACCGGACCAGAAAATAAAACGAAAAAAACGTATATCCAAACGGTGGAAGAGTAGTTTTCCGTTACTCGAATAACATTCGAACAATCCCATTCTGGGCGACTTTGGGTAATTTAGGTGACGTTTCAATAGAGTTTACTTTTCACGCGGTACTATGACAACATTCAAATCCTCTGGATGTTTGTTCCCTACTACATTCAACTACATTGTTATTTGTTACTGTATATGCCCGTATATAGGTCAGTTTTATTGTTACAGTAATGTCTGCACTGTAGTTTCTATCGCCTTTTGTTGTACGCCGAGGTACATTCCGTTAAACAAACAAAGTAAAAATAACTCAACCTACAAGGCGATGAATAAACGTTAGCAGAATATTTGTCGAAAACCGATGCTTTGACGCACCAGTGAAACTGCTTTTTGTTTGCCTAAGCATTCTATCTCCGTCGACGCTCATATCTCGATAAATATTCGTTTCGAGTCGGGTTTATTAATCCTTTTGCAGTTGAACGCGTCTGGAAGATGCCCACGAGGTACGAAATTTCAAAACATCCGAGATAATGAACGGAAATAAAGATAAAGCTGAACGTGAAACACGTCACGATTCGTTTTCTTAAATTACCCAACGTTGCTTGTTAACATAGAGCTACTAGACGTTCCTCGTATGAAAACACGAGCAAATCCTGTTACAGTTTCCTCTCGGAGGGTTGAAAATATAGGATCGTACGTCCCGAAACTTGCGAATTTTTCCTCGAAACACCCAGTATACGGTCGTCCCCTTTTTTCTCTGGCAAAGAGCCGCACACCTCCGAAGCCGAGTTCATCTATCGGAGAATCGGTAATGTTTATAGCGTATTTACGTTTCCCAGGCGCCTCGGGGTTGGACGGGAGGGTCGGAGGGAGGTAATGCCGGCAGTGATACTATACTTCCATCTAATGTAACAAGCTTTCAAACGATACACGTACACCGGCACACGTACGCGCTGTGCCAGCAGCCGGTTGGCCTGTCTGGCCTGGAAAGATAGACTCCCTTTCACCTTTTCCTGAGCGTGGCCGCCGAGGAAGGGGATATTATCGGGCAGTCGATGAAAGTGTCTGGACCGCGTCGCGGTAATCGATCACGTTGTTTCGTCTGATCGAAAGTCCCACCGACTATCCCTCGGTGAAACGGGAATAACGCACCCCGTGTCGAAAGAACGATCCGCCCGCGGTAATAAACGCTTTCCACACCCTCCTCGAGGCGGTCGCCGCCTCTGTCCATTTTATTACACGGCCAGATTCGCGTAGGCAAACGTTTGAAAGCTTTCGTCGACGACGCAGCTACGACGAAAGCCGTAAACGCTGATTTCGGCACGGATCAACGTCCAACGCTTTCCTCGACCGTGAATGCCCACGAGCTACGATTTTCATCTACGATGTCGGCCGTAGACACACGTTGCACCGCTCTCGGTTGTCCGTTGTTCTTTCGCGTCGGCAGGGTGCAACCACCTTCTCGAGTTAGATGGGTGGATTCTTTTCGGGGAATTTATTCCTGAAGATTTCAACATTTTTTTCGGCATTACAAATCAAAGTTTACGTAACTATCCGATGACTATTGGTCTAAAGAAAATGTTTTGCTTTCTCGAGGAAAGATTCGAATCTGTCCAAGCACGAAAAAACGGGGAGAAACGCTAAAGCATTATCCCATTTACGGTAATACACGTACTACAAGGGAAGGTTCTCTCCAAATACAAAGTCAATAGGACTATCGGTGCGCGAATTATCCATCGCACCACTTCAAAAAATTTGGTTTCGGGAAAAGCGCGATTAAAGTTCGATTGGTAGCTACTTGAACCGCGCCGGTGTATACCGCCTCCTTTATGCGCTTTACGTTTCAAACCTTCGTAACCTCCACAATTTTTCGAATACACCGAAAATCAAATAACGCTTTCCGTGCGTCGGACTTGAACGGTTCGATTTATAGAAAATTCTTTTTCAACATTTTTTCACCGACAGGAGTTCAACCCCCTTTAGCGGGAAATTGGCTTAGTTTTTAAGTGCTTTCGCGACACGGTTATAACTTTCCAGACGTCAGCCGAATTCGATGGACAAGTTGATAGAAAAATTCCTCGATATCGTAACAAATTCCGGCAAGTGTCGAAAGTGCTTTATTCGAACACTTTGGCTCTAGATTTCAGTTCGATAATGTAAGGTAAATAGGTAAATAACGTTCTTTTTTCAAACAATTACCGAATAGGACGTTTCATTTTAAACACACGTTTAGCTTCATGATCAGAGCGACGAAGGGTGCAAACCTCGCGAGGACGTACGATGCACTCCTCCGTCACTCAACTTTCGTAGTTGCACTCTTCCGACTCTAAATCACCGAATTGTCGGACGCATATGCTTCGTACGTGGCCCGTTTCCCCTCCTCCGTCGTCACGTGGAAACAGCGTTTGTCGGCGTGGAATTTCGATCCGTCGAACACGTCGGACTTTTGTTCGGCGCCGGCAGACGGTGCCCGTCAAAATCGACGTTCTCACGCTGCCATCGTAAATCGCGACTGACCTCGCGACAGGTCATTCGCCGTCGCGTCCCGTGCTTCTGATGTCTGGTGTCCATTGAAGGGTTTCACTATCGAGAGTGGGAATCTCTAGTGGACGCATCATCGAAGCTAAGGGGTCCTTCACACGTAGACGGACGGAATACGCTACCGATACTTTTAGTCTATCGAAAGGAATTCGAAGAAGGGGGATGGACATCGTTATTCGAATTTTTTCTATTTCGGGTTTTCCAAGCGCGAAGTCTTCCCCTTATCCGATGTTTGCTCCCGGGAGCAAAATTCTCGAGCGGACAGTACGCGTAACGCGATTCCAGAGCCGAAAACGAATATACCTCGGTTTTCAGTCGGCTCGATCGAAGCCTGGCACGCAGATCGCCCTTACGAAGACGCACACAGTCGCAGGGACGGGGGATCTTGACGAGGAGGAGCGTACGTACACGCACGCGAGAATCCATACGGTGGTAGATTCTGGGGGATTCTCTTGGGAAGAACGGACGACGTGTCCTCGTCCGTCGCGTCGCGCACCACGGGGGTGAAAGAAAACACGGTCGCTCGCGATGGAAACTCGCGTCCTCGAGGCTGCAGCCGGTCAACGAGGACCGAGGATCCGTGTAATGGCTCTCACGTACGCGAACCCGAGCACGCGGCTGAAATTTAAACCGTCACTACCCACGAGCAACACCACCACCGCACCACCGCACCACCACCAGCACAAACCACCACTGCGACGAGGTACGCGGCCGGCAGTATATCGTTCTACCCACCCTTCGCCGCGACGGGAACGAGGGAGGAACGGTGACAGCGGTGTAGGCGCAGGTAAAGAGTCGAGGGTGGCTGGCGAGCCTCGACCGGCGTCGAGGTTCGGATACGTCGCGAGTACGGCGGGTATACACACGACGAAGAGGCCCAGGTCGCCATGCACTCCGACATCGAACTACCGGGCTTTCGAGGCTGCGTTAGGGTCACCCGTTCCGTGATTTTACCGTGGTCGAGTTAGCAGCTTCCCTCCGTGCACCGGGACGTCGACGACACACAGAGCTCTCGCAGCTTCGTTTTCACTGGCAGTGGCCACGCACCACGTACCGAGGGGATGAAACGAGCGTGCGTCCGACCGACGGAGAGGGAGACACTGGGGAGGGTGGGAAAAGAGACGACGAGGGTCCAAAGCGAGGAGCAGCGTGTTTCGACCGGGCGTTCCTCGGTCCTCTGCCGCACGACGACTGAATCTTCGGGGTGTACTGGGGAAGCTGCGCGCAGGGTCGGCCCCCGCCCGCCCCCTGCGCTCCGTGCACTCTTCTCGATCCTCTCTCTTCCTCTCGCGCACTCTCCCGCGTCTTTTTCTGGTCTCTCCTCTCTTGGCTGTCTCTCTTCCTCCGCCTCCGCTTCTACTTCTTGCTCTCTGCCGCTCTCTGCCTGTCTACTTGACGTTCCCTCCGCCTCCGCCTCATCCTACTCCACTGCTAGCGATGGGCATTCGATCCCCTCTGTTGCGAATTTTTGAGCAATTGCGTCGGGGGTGCGAAGCCACCGTCGACGTTCTTACGTCTTCTTTAAATTACCGGAGCATTTTTAACGTATCAGGCTACGCGTTCGACGTGGTCTGCTAGCGCATCGTTGCAAACGGCATCGGCCATTTATACGGGTCCTCTTATTCGTATAGTGCTCTCAGCATAGTTCGCGAACACGTGATCCCTTTGACGGTTCACCTGCTTATATCCCTTAAGAAATTCTCGAGTTCTACAACTGTTGTATTTTATTTTCAAATCCTATCGTTTAAAGTTGTTTATTGAAGCCTTCAGTTTTACATGAATTATCCCCGATAAACGAGGGCTTAAGGATCAACAATTCAAACTTGTATCGTAATGGTACAATTGAACATTTCTAGGCTATGCGATATCAAACGTATTATACATACATAAATGGATCGGATCGTTACATTTTCGCAGCAACGAGAGAAAGTAAATGATTTATCAGGAAAAATATACAAGTATAAAGTACTACGAAAGCACCCGACTACTCTAGTAGCAATCTTTTCGTTATAGAAACGTGGAAAGATTGTTTAATGTAACTCGCGCTTATAAATAGACCGCATCTATTACCTTACGTATTATAAATAACGCGTCACGAGGCAAAGAATGACGAAAATCCAGCCAACGCACACGGACCAGTTTCCAAGCTCCAAAACTTGGTGATTTATTAAACGAGAGAAGTGTAATACCTAACGTATTCAAGAACACAGGCGCATACGTGTACGGCTAGTTTTGAAGTTACTTTAAATACTGCAACGCGGGGGCAACCGCTATAATTATGAATGAGCATTCGCTACGCACGCTACCCCCGCACGAAAACAGTGACGTAGCTAGATTTACAGATACGGTGGATGTGCAACGACGCGTTTCCATTACAAATACGACCGTTGGGGCCTTTATTCTCGTCCTTTTTTTTTGCGCGCGCGCGCGTCAACTACCGGTACTTTTATCTCAGTCGTAGCAGCCATACTTTACGCGGATTATAATTCGTAACCAGTCGCGGAGGAATGTTGCTAAACGGATACTCCGCTTGCAAAACTGCACTCGTTTCGCGAGGATAGTGGCTCGTTATCGTGCAGTTTCAACGTAAAAACATTACGAGACGAGACAAAGTCGTGTTCGTACGACGTAGGATTAATTCTTTGCCGCGCAATAAGCTAATAAAAAGAATTCCTGCGAAATTCTCTCGGTCAATTTGTATCGTTAAATGAAATTATTAAAAGTAAAGGCAAATTATTAAGCACATTCCAGACAATTTCTCCATTGTTCGAGGTCCCCGCCTTTTGTGTTTCAATCGCGTCGATCCGAGGAGAAACTCTATCTTGTTTGTAATTTCAAGCGCAACGCGTACCCTTCCGAACCTGGCGCAACCATGATCTAAACTCCGTTGAAGTTTTGTTATTTGTTGCGACGTATATTTATATCTCCTTGTCGTCCAGGATTAATTGGACTAGTTTTTCCTGCAACGGGATTTACAATCTCGCGAGATACCCTTGAATCATGGTTATACATGCCGTGGCAAGCGTTCGCGAGGATATATAGGAATCGCGAAGATCGTGGAATTCGAGCGTGCGTTTTTGAAGTATTGAAATTCCGAACGAATTGCCGGCCCCGATACGTTTCGTATACAAAAATGCAACAGCGTCGCTGCTTTCAGCGACACATTTCAAGAGAATCGAAACAGCCGCGGTCCGAGAGACACGTTTCCGAGTACGCGGAAAGTATTCAAAGCAACCGAGGGAAACTTTGATCGCGCGTCCCGAATGATGCGAAGAGCCTCGAGGCCATCGCTACCTTTTCCCTCCTTCTTCTACTCGAAACGTTCGCGTCCCACCAACGTTCTCCCGTTTCCTCTTTATTTCCCTACGTATCTCATTTTCCTGCTTCGTTTTCGTCCCTTTTCCACTCTCTGTCTCGTTGATTCTCCGTCGTTACTTTCCCCTCCGTCTGCCTCTTTTTCCCTTGTTTCTCCGGTCCGACGGTTTTCTCTCGATTTCTTCGTTCCCCTTTTCCACCCATCATCCGCGTTTCTTTTTCACCCACGCTCGTCCTCGCCTCTGCTATCTCTCTTTCTCCGCTCGACACAGTGGTGCCCAACCGTGGGCACAACGAAGCAAAACGGTCCATGGATTTATAAGGGCATACGTGTATCAAAGTAGGCGAATCGTAGTCTTTCAACGAGCTTCGTTGTAAACGAAAAACGAAAACAAAAAAAATACAGCGATTTTAGTCCTTCGACTCTATGATACTTACAATTAGAAGGATCGCGTATAAATCGTTTGCTCTAGTAGTCAGATTCGGACGCCAACGTTCGTTGAATAAATTTCCATTTTGACGTCCTCGCTATATATATATATATATATATATATATATATATAAAAAAAAGAAAAAAAAAAGAGCTTCGTCTATCAAGAGTGGAAACGAATAGGTCATTAATTATTTATAATTCGAACGAGAAGTCGCGTGTTATATTTGGTTAAAACTGGAAACGAGGTAAATCAGATTACAGATCCCGGCAGCTACGAGCTCTCATTTTTCCGTACAGATTTTCCCACTTGTTTTTAATACTATTTCGCTGGCCGGATAATCCGTACGAGAGAGTCGAATTTTGCGCACCTCTGGCCCGACACGTTCGCAGAGGGCAACGGGCGGCGGTGGTGCCGAACTACGTGGCGGACAGGGGATGCTAACTTTTAGGATTTCTCTTTGTAGAAAGACGCGTTTATCTCGGGCTCAAAGGCAGCTGGAATTTTTAGCCGCGTTACAGGACGGACGGGGGGGAATGCCGGGCGGTACTTTTTTATGAAAAGGTCGTCCATGAATTTCTACTATTCCGAAATTTATGCCGGCTCCCTACCCCGTGAGCGCGAGACACGAGAAGATTAATCGTCGAACATCGTCCAGAGGGTTGAGAGACGCGCAACCAACGTCACGGTGCGTGCACGCTTTTTCAATTACGCTCTAACTACCCTTCCGTGGACGGGGAAACAATCGCGACCCTTTTCCCTTCCGGTGGTCGCCGTTCGCGGAGTCGATCGTACCTGGCCCCGCGAGCGTTTAGCGACAACGAACGAGGCTACGATAGCGAAGGAGACGAAAAGGAGCACGGACGTACTCGTCCACGATTGTTCAACGATCCTTTCATAAAGGATCCTGATAAAGGGAGACGAAAGTGGTTGTCGTTGAAAAACCAGCAACCTCGTATTTACTCGCTTACAAGGAATTAACAACGAACTCGCGCTCGTTCGTCATTTTCCATAAATCGATCAACGATTAGTGTTAACTTTACGAGAAACGTCCCTCTGAGCGATAATTTGACGATTTCTAAACCAAGTAGACGGTGGCCGCTTCCGAGACACTTTCTCTGTCGACGTAACGAGTGTACAACGTAACGCGGCGTGCTGGGGAATTTTTGTAAGACTCGAAGTCACCTGGATGACGCTCACCGCGCAACCTCGAGAGGATAGTTTCCGTTCTCTCGAGTGCTTATCTCCGCGGATCGCGCACGTACGGCAATTCCAGGCAAATTGTTTGTTGCGAACCGTCTGTGGATTCAAACGAGCCTATTAGCACGCGAACGGGGTCCCGTTCGCCTCGCTACGCGATACCCGCGACGAGATCAAAGCGATTCGAATTTCAAATCGTTTTATTGCGAGCGTTTTCTTTGCTCGGGAACGTCGCTCGACTCCCGCGAGCTTCGGTTTCGTTAATCGTTACGTCCTTCTATTAACAAAGACACCTCAATGCACGCGATCCTCTATCCCGATGTTTCTCAACCGTTCGAACCGCGCATACGTCGCTTTTTCAATCAAACGTCGAAACACGGAGCACTGTTTTCACTGCTAACAATACTGATTTCCGCCTGGGTTTCTCCCGTCCTCGTCCACTCAGCCATCGACCCCATTTATCCTCGATGCTCCATCGAGCTCCATCCTCTTAATAAGTGACTGAATCAAGAAAGATGAAAGCGTACAATTAAAAGTCCTAGGGTAGGTTCGTAGGTACCAAGTGTGCAGCACATGTTCGAGCTTGGATTCATTTTTTTTTTTTTCTAGTAACTGGGATATAATAACGCTCCATAAGATGAAGGGGATTCCCACTGAAAATGTTTCAATGGTTGACACCTGTCGATATCGAAAATTCCGGTACTCGACCTCTTTTCGATTCCGTAGCCGATCTCTCTTTCTCTGTTACACGAAAGATACGGAAAATTATAAACGAAACTAGTACTTTCAGAAAAAAAGAAAAACCAACCTCGTGGAAGATTTAATTTTAACCGACAGGCACGGTTTTGCCCTGTTGATTCTAGATTTTGATTTATAATATTTTAAACTAATGCTTACATTAACAAGGATGGTGTCGTACTTAGGGTGAATCATGTATCTTGTTCTTTTGTTAATTCTGTTCTATTTATTTTTTTTAATTCTACTTCTTTTAATATTTTATTTGGATAAAAATAAGGCTTCAGTTCGAAATCTCAGTATTTGTTTCTGAAGAATCTGACAGTTCAACGACGTGAATGTATTTCGTGTCGTTTGCGTTCGACAGAGCGACAAGCATTTAGAAGATGGATTTTGTTAGGTACTCCGTTCGCGTCAACTTCTAGACACCTCTTCACTCGTCTGCCTTCTTTATTTTTCCGAGCGATCAACGATCGTAGAACGTCTGGCATTCATTTGTGTGGCAAATTCGCGGCGCAATTCGACGCGGATTGCCTTCAACAGTTTCGTTCAGAGCTTGATTGCGCGCGATTTTCTTCAATTTTCATTCCGACACAATTTCGCCAGCTTTGAATTTCGAGAAGACCGGGAATT